TGATTTACTAGTGGAAATGAGCTTCTGTGAGTGCAGTCCAGCCTCGAGCTTGGCATTAGCATGCTGTCAAACTCATTTATATTAAACATTCATTGCTGTAAATAATTAGAGTGCAAGAAAATGCCTCAAACTGTTTAAGATAAACTTTGTCTGTTTTTCATATTTTAAGATAATAAAGTCCATGTTTTAATAACACCACTGCTCCTCTTCGTCCCTCAGCTAAAGAGTACGTTGACTGTGACCCTCCGGCCGCAGAGGGACCCCATCACCACCATCAAACAGGGGGCAGAGCCGCCCACCTTCACCGCTGGTTCCAGGCCTGGGACGCTCACATGTGGGACACTGACCTTCTGGAGCGCATCCGGGCTCGCTTCTGAGGACACCCAGGACCACCACCCCGTCGTCTCCAGGACCCCGTCTCAGGACCACCACCCACCACCCCGTCTCCAGGACCACCACCCACCACCCCATCTCCAGGACCACCACCCCCACCCCGTCTCCAGGACCACCACCCACCACCCCGTCTCCAGGACCACCACCCCGTCTCCAGGACCACCACCCCGTCTCCAAGACAACCGATTTCCACTACCAGTCGATAGTTTGGACAGGCCTTTTCATTCTGTTTTTTCATGACTATTTCCATTGTAGAGAATCACTGAAGGCATCAGAACTATCAATGGACACATACACAGTGCAAAACAATCAGCTACATTCACTTTTTCATTTAGATTTTAGGTTTTTGAATAGCCACCCTTTGCTTGACCCTGATGCGAAATGAAAACCATTTCAGGAGACTTCATCAAGAAGCTCAGTGAAAGAAGGATAAGGGTTTGCAGCACTGTTTACAAAGCAAAGGTAAACTTAAAGGATTTGAATATAAAATCTAAAAAAGATTTCATGAAGTAGTAGTTTCTGTAGTACGTAGTTCCATGTATATTTTACACCGTATATCTGATGTCTTCTGTTTGTATCTAAAATGTAGTAGTAGTAAACATGAAGAAAGGGACCACTGAAAACTGTATGTCCAAACTTTTCACTGGTAATGTACCCACCCAGTCCCCACTGCCCAGCACCTACAGCCATGTTCTTTTTCTACCTGCAGTCCCAAGTGCCAAACCTCATATTTCAGTGCTTCGCGTCAGGCCAACGGTGCAGTGCGCCAAATGACACATTCTCTTTTTACTTTTTACTATGAAGTGTCCGCAGTGCTCTGTGGACTGATGCATTCAGGTGCTTCAAGACATCTCAGTATCGCTTCGTTTGCCTAGAAATGATCTTTGAGCATTAAATAGAGAAGTAGTTTCTTTTTAAAACGTAGTCGTGTTCTGACGCCTGTCCGCCATTTTATGTTTTGATATTTTTTTGCTATAATGAACCCAACTTAATGTTATTTTGTATGTTTTACCCGTAGACTATTTGTAGAGACGGACCGAGCCAAGCTGAAACTATTTGGACACTTCATTTGTGCACTTATGATATTCACTTCAAAACTATTTAAAAATATAATATTGTCGAAATTGTTAAATTGTTAAAAATACCACATACAAAAGTGTGTATACAAAAAACAACGAACTTAAGCGTTTTTCATTTCACAAGCCATAAATTATACTCACTGTTAAAGGTGCAATGCGTAGGTTTTCTGGTAAAGGGTCCGTCACCTGCTTGTCTCCATGGAGAAGTTACAGTATTGCTTTGTCTAGAATGTTCCACAGTCTGGCATTTCACTTATTTTCAAGGTTTTAGGCTGCATTTGAATAAATATAAGACAGATACGTTTAATGACATACCGTATTTTCCGGGCTATTAGACACGCTCTTAAGCCTCTAACCGCATCAAAAAACATCCGCGCGCCACAATCCAGAGCGCCCCATACACAAAGCCACTCCGGTGTCCCAGTACGACTTCAGTAAACTGCAAAGCCGCACCACCCGCAGAACACACAAACACACACGGAGCAGACAGCGACCACACAGCGAAACACACCCACAGACACACTCATCACTCCACACTGACGAGGAACGGAACGAAGGAACGAACTGAAAAAGCGAGTGCAATGTGCCACTTCTAGACACAACTGAACAACTGAGTCACTGTGAACACGCCGACAATCTGTTGGTCCCAGACAGCACCCTCCCTACACACCACAACTGAACAAAGCCCAGAGTCACCGTGAACGAACAAACAAACAAAACCACTCACCCATCACACTGTTGTGTTTCCTTTAAAGTCCGGTGCGGTTTATTTGTGAAAAAAGTTAGAAAATAGACCATTTAATGACAGTGCGTCTTATAATCCAGAGCGACTAATCGTCCATAAAATACCGTGGAACATTTTAGGAAACGCAAATAACATTTCAATTTTTTCTGGGCGTCTTTGTGCCACGAAACCAGCTGTAATTGAATAAATATAAAGTAGAGTTGTTTAATGTCATGTTGTGGAACAATGACATATCCATAGAAACAAGCAGGTGATGAAGCCCCAACCAAAAAGTTACACAGTGCATCTTTAGAGAGTAAAATGATTATTCTTCAGAGAGCTTCACAGTTTTTCCCCTTAAACAGAAGCGCATCTTTAAGTGTACAAGTGCGTTCTGAGGCTTAAAATGAAATCGGAAAGCAAATAATGCAAAGCAACTTCACTCATGTTTTAACGTTTACAGAAATATAGAATTTAAATCCAACTTTTTATTTGATATCATAGAAAACAAGTCATTAAATATTGTACGGCAGCTGTCCCGTCGTCTGTCTCTGTAGTTGCTTTCATCTTTGGTACTGAAGTGCTGTGTTTTTGCATGCCGCTTGAAGACACTCCCTCTCCAGCCTCCGCGAAGGAGCTTTGAGATCTGTGTCCGTACTTTTACTTGACCCTTGCTTTTAAATAAACCCTTTACAGTATTTGGATCAAAGTGCGTCTCGTTATTCTTTCTATCATGAGTGTTATGAATGTTACAGCTGTAGTCGTGCGTTCTGTCGGCTCTGCTCCTCGGGCGGTGCTGTTGGGGTGGAGCATCTGTTTCATTTTGAAGTAGAAGAAGAAGAAGACTTGGTTCACATTTTATTAACCTGGATTTGGGCCTAGGTATATATATTTAAAGCATACATACAGATGATAGATTCAAAACACGAATAACAGGACATACTGACTCATGTAACAGGACAGTCTGCAGACAAGACGAAACAATTCAATAAACAGAATAATAATCAAATAAAAGTAAACCATGAGTGTGTGTTTATATGTGTGTTAATAAAACATGTTGAATTTGTGAGCTCAAGAGGAGAAACGAACAAGAAGGGCAATAGAGTAAAAGAAGAAAATAAAATAAAATAAAGAGCAGACCTCCATGTTGATGTTATTGCTTTGTCTGGAATGTTCCACAGTGTGGCATTAAACTTTTCTATCTCCATGGGAGACCAAATCAGACCAAGTTACAGGTCAGGTCTGTGGAGAGGCGACCCCACTCACAGTGAATGTCTGTTTTTCTAGGGATTTTTGCAAGCAAAATTAAAACACATGTGTACATTGATATGCACAACTTGTAACAAGCACAGAGCTGCTTTTAATGTTCAGCGGACTGTGCGGAGACATTCACAGACAGAGCAGAAGTGCCTGGAATGCAGCTACGCTAAGCAAGTGCCTCCAATAAAAACAATAAAACCTGTTAAACATCAGTCTCAATGCAATGTTAATTACAAGATTAAGTACTGCTAAAAGCGTGCAAAGAGCGTGCTTACGTGCATCTTGACGTGACATGAAACGTCATTTGAATTCATAATTGGCTTGTTTACTGACCTTTAATGTGACGTGAGGATTAAATTGCAAAAAATCATGACGATATATTTTGAACAAGGGTTTTATTGTTTGGCTAGTAATAAACAAGAATTATAGAACAGTTTTTTGTTGTCTTCCAAAATTATTCTGTATTTTATATCTTTATAAGTTACATTTGGTAAATCTGTGTCATATTCCACCATCCACATTTGGAATGAGTCCCAAAACGTTCTAATACGGCTACAATAAAAGAACAAATGTTCAACAGTTTCTATTTCACTGTTACAAAAGGTGCAGTTATTGGTCTCCATATTAAAATGTTTTTTTCAAGAATTGTACAGGGGTAAATATCATTTAAAATTTTAAAGTGAGTTTCTTTGGCTTTAGGGGAGATTGGAAATGAGAAAAAAATTTGTTCTAATTTTTAAAAATTTTCAATGATATTAACTGGAAACTCTTTAAGTACATGGATTCTTTTTAATGGGAGAGGACACAATTTGGTAGTAATAATGTTCCTTATTATTTTATTTGAGCAGTTTTTGTCTTTAAATTCAAATTCATCTATGGTGAGTAAAGGGAATTTGGTGTAATTTTATCATATCTCAACATGCCACAACTAGATTTAACAATTCTAATGGGAGAGCTTTGATGACTGTATGATATTGCTGTTTTGAGCATTGTAAATTATATTTCTTCATAAGGTTCCCTTTAGAATCTGTTAAATGTGAAATGGACCAAATCCCCTTTCTCACCCAGTCCTCATAATAGATAGATTTTCTTTTGGAAAGAATACATCTGTTGTTCCAGATAGGTACATTATGTGGAGTGAAACTGTGTGTGTGTCATTTTCCATCAGCCCCATCAGCACAGTGTTGGACTGCTGCAGCAACCGGTCATCCCGCTCCTCTGCTCTCGCATTTGCCTCAGCTTCCCTCTCCTCTGCCCTTGTATCTGCCTTCTTCAAGTATTGGAGTATGTCCTCAATACTGTTTTGTCTCTTCCTTTTCCCTGGGTAACAGGAAACAAATGTTAGTACAGACAGACAACGCTACGCTGCAAGGCCTCCAATAAGCAGGTGACATACGCCTAACAAAAAGTTACACAGTGCACTTTTAGGTAAATTACAGATATTTGTATTGCTCAAAAATACCTTAAAACATGCATTCTCCTTGAGGGGCAGGTAGACTGACCCTAGTGATTATCACAGAGTGAACAGAGGAAAGTGAAGGGACAACACAAGATCTCCAGGATGCTCAGAACGATGAGGCTCACACAGCCACAGCAGACCACACAGCAGTCTGCACAGGAGCAGTCTGCACAAGAGGAGAACAGGTTTTAGAACAAACTGACAGAAAACAACTTTTGGATTCCTCTCAATATCAGACATGTACATCACAGACAAAAGTTTGGACAGTCCTTCTCATTCAGTGTCTTTTTTCCTTAAGTTTACTGCTTAAATACAAACAGAAGGCATCAAATATGTGGCACAACATATATGGAATTATGTAGCAAAGAAAAAAAGGGAATTAACCCTTTGTATTGTCAACAGAGTTGCAAACCCTTCAGCTTCTTGTCAGGGTCAACACATACAAAGAGTGTGTGAAGCAGTGACTGAAGTAAAGGGTGACTATTTTGGTCTTTAATCTAAAGGTTTTGTGTTTATCTTTGTTTCCTTCACACATGAGTTCATTCATAGTTCTGATGCTTTCAGTCAGAATCTACGGTGTAAATAATCATGAAAATGAAGAAGAAACAAACATGAGAAAGTGTGTCCAAACATTTGAACTATGGTGTGAAAAAGGGACAAAAGGAAAGCAGAACAAAAAAGAGGTGCTCTTTGGTCAAGGGACAAAAAGTACAAAAAACAAGGTACTCTCTTGGATGTTAAAATATCTTGAGCCCCAATGTGTTTCAGCCCACTGGCCTTTTTTTTTTTTTTACTGAATCTATAAATGTAAAGCCACTGAAACCCTGACATGAGGACACTGATTTTATTCTCTTTGATTCTTTTCTCGTCATTATTCACTGTTTTAAATGTGGTCATTTTGTATTGGTGTTAACATCGCCATCTGGTGGTGTTTTTCACTCACTGTCCCACACTGTCAGAAGAGTCAGACTGCAGACCTGCACCCAGAGGACCCGACCTCACAGTCACGACCATGATGACCCCCACACACATGTCCCTCACTGTATTACAACAGTTTACTGTTTAAAGGTGACTATAAGTAACATTTCTTTAGAGCACTTTTCACAGAGATCAGCTCACAGTTGTGCTTCATCTTTAGCTTAAAATATTCCACTTTTATTTCAGACCTGATTTAGACTTGGCTTTGTCCTTGTTTAGTCCTGGTTTCATTGTAGTCCTGGCTCAGTTTCAGTGTTTCTTACCTTTAAACTCAGGTGTGGAGCCAGGAAGAAGTGGAGTTCCTTCAGAAGAAACTGGTCCTGATCAGAGAAATAAACACACTTACATACTTCTGCTTTGGTACATTTAAAGAGGGGGTCTTATGCATTATTTTTGGAGTTTGAGCCATGTTAAAATGTTGTTCCCTCATTAAAACCCTCCTTACAGTTAGAATGATACTGCTCACAAGCCTAAGCCGCCCATGCTCCCACACAGTCATTTTTCATAAAATATAAAAACAGGATACAAAATAATACATCACAACTTCACAAACCTGATACAATGTGCAGAGTTTTATTAGTGAGATACACGCCTGTTGTAGGGTTAGTGACACAATGTGGAGAACATACAGAGGGGGGACTCTGACTCAAAATGAAACTGAAAGTTGTTTCACATTTTAATACGTTATTTTCAGCAAATACAGAATTTTTTAAACAATAAAAGGACTATGGTGATCTAAATACATGATGAGTTAGTGGTTAATTCCCCATAGAAGTAAATTCCCCTCTTTCACTTGTGTGGAATATTAAACAACTGAGCTCTCTCACCTTCAGTCACCGAAGGCTGGATAAAAATAATTGTTGTATTTCCTGACATTTGAAAAAAACAAAAAATCTCCAATATACCAAAAAGAAATTCTGAAAATGTGATTTCAATATTAAAAATAAAGGAAAGTAAAACTGTAGAATTTCTTAATCTTCTTGTTGAGCTGAAGTTGGCTTCTCCCTGAGAGCTGCTGTGTCGTCTTTAGCCCTAGACTTCCGTTTTACCTGCTCTGACAATGTACACCGGCAGTGTACACACTCCACTTCCTACTGATCTAAATACACACCAGCAGCATTTGCATTGCAATTGTACATAAAACTTTTACAGCAAGTATTTAAAACTAGGATATAAAGGCTTAAATTTAAAAACATGAATTTAAACAATTTCAAAGTTGGATCAGTGATATCCTATCACTAAACAATGTTTATTTAAATCATTAATTGAAAATCTTAGGACATGAGTAATTATTATTAATGGTATAGGACTTATAAGTTAACCAATGCTTCATTCTTAATATGAAAACGAAAATTTACAGTTTTTACTAAAAATTGTTCAAGTTAAGCAAAGTTTTATTTATTTTTTTTTTTTTAATAGCAAAAAACAAATATAAGCTATATGAGTAAAAGCCTGGACAGATGAGACTGAGTGTAGCCACATACCATACTGTTTAAAACTAAAACTTAACTTGTGTTTACCACCACAGAACAATTAGATGGATGGTTGTTCTTATAGAGTGTGCAGTGTGGGAGCTTCAGAGCCTCTGTCTTTAGCTTCAGTCTGAGGCAGAGGTTTTGAGGCAGAGGTTTTGAGGCAGAGGTGCAGTGAGTCTGGCTCCTCTTCAGTCCGACTGGTGAAGATCCAGTCTGTCAGTGTCCAGCTCTGGGCTTCCCCCTTTCTCACAGCATCTGAAATGACACCAGTGTGTGTTAAACACCCCATTACACCTCTTATTCTTGTAAGGAGTTAGAGTTCAGGTTTGTGAAGAACATTGTAAGTCATGACAGTGGCTGTGTGATGTGAACATGAAAGGTAAACACTTGATCGGAGAGATCTGTGCACTTACAGAGGGTCAGTCTGTAAACTCCACCACAGCATGTTCTGAAAGAAACAATCTGCACAACAACAGGTGTGATTATAATGTGCATATGTTTAGTTATGAAAGTTAATAAAAGTAGGATAATACAGTAAACTTACACAGGGTCTGCCTCTACATTTTTGGAATTTGGCCCAGCAGAGGGCCAAATTAAACACAGAGGCCACAGTGTTTAATCCAAGTGCAGTATTTACCTCCAGAGGGTCTTTATCATGTCCTTATGTCCATCTTCTTATTAACCATAGTATATTCTGAAACAGAGATGAAAAACATTATTTAACTCATCGGAAATACTTTAGTGCAGTAAAACTGAACTCTTTTGTTTTAGTATAAGCCTGAGTATGAACATGAGACGTATTTCACTGCTGTTAATACACAATACTCTACTACATTTACTTTTACCACAATATTTAAAATATAATAATCAACTTATGATGGTGTTCATAGTCAATATCAGTGTCATTTAGATGTGACACATTAGTGTTCATGTCAACATCTCTCACTGAAAGTCTGAAGCACCGTCTCAAGTCCCATAACAGAAAGTTAGAGACAAAGTCAGATCTGATTCTAAACTAAAATCTCACTGTCACAGAAATCATTAAAAGTACTTACTTCTGATCAGCGTGCCGGGCTCCTGATGGGGACACTCAGCAGAAGGACAGGGGCTCCTGATGTCATCTGGGGAAAAACAACACAAGTTTAGGTTGGTTATCTAACGTTAGCTGTTGTTAAAAGTTGTGCTTTGTATTACGTTACGTTATTGATTTAAGGCACGTTGCGTTAAATTATTGTATTAAGGCGGTGCCTTAATACAATAACAAACATGACTGCACTTTTGTCTCAGCTCAACAGTCAACACTCTAGTCTACACAAACAATAATTATCTGTGGTTAAAAAAGTAGCGTTATATAAAAATTAGTATTTAGACTGGGATCTAGCTCAAGAGATGGAGTTATCCAGACTCCTGACCTCACATCGTCTTCATCACGTTAGCTGCTACTGTCACTAACTTTTCTACTGCACTCGTCGAAACTGATAAAACACTGATAAAACACAAAAAACATCTCACTTGAGTAGGAACAGAGCTTCAGACAGAGCAGTGCTTCCAGTTAGCAACACATACCCAGAGAATGTTGATGTCATCAACTGCAAAGTAGTAATATTTATGGCATTTTATAGTATTTGATTATTTTCTTTTGATGATTAAATGTGGTTATTTTGTATTGGGGTTAACGCTGTCCTCTGGTGGTGTTTTACATTCTCCTTTTGCATCGTGTCCCTGATGACGACCAGTAGGATGTAATGTGCTGGAGCTTAGGCCCATGGGACACGTGTTTAGACTTGGCTGTGTCAGTTTGGTCGTGTGTACATTTGAGTCCTTGGCTTAGTTCCAGTGTTTCTTACCTTGGTTTGTGTTCTCAAACTCAGATAAGGAACCAGAAAGAAGTGGAGAGCTTTCAGAGGAGCCTGATCCTGAACAAAGGAATAACACTTACTCTACCAGCCAAAAGTTTGGACACACTTTCATTTTATCAGAGTGTGCGTCAGAGCACATCTACTGGAGGGGCGTGGGTCACCAGCAGGGGGGCAGTGCCATTTGAGAAATATTTTAACGTGGTGGAGTCATACACAGCAGAAATGCTTCAAACACGTTGTTCTTAAACAGTATTAGGCTAATTATGTGTTGTTATTATTATCATTATTATTAATATTATTAGTTGCAATAGTTGTTGAGGCTGTGTGGTAGACGATACGCACACAAGACAATAATAAAAGGTTGAGGTTTATTAAAAACAATAAGGCCTGCCCCTGGTTGTAAACATTAAACAACAGCCTCTCGTCAAAAACACCTCTGAACAACATTCACACGTTATTTCAGTCTCTTTTTTTTTTTTTTAGCTAAAAAGTTACATAAAGTGCCTTTAAGGACAAATGTGCTGTGCATGTTTAACCTTTCTGATGTGGGTGACAGATCTTTCGGGTGGAGGATGGAGCTAGTGTCCCCGTGGACCCAGCCTCCTACGGACACTTCTACGGTGGAGACTGTTACCTGATCCTGTACAGCTACAGACTGGGAGGGCGCGAGCAGCACATCATCTACACATGGTGAGCTCTGAGGGAGACACAGACACACATCAGAGTGTTAGAGGAGCACTGTTGTTTAAATGCTGTTTGTTGTTGTGTTTCTAAAGGCAGGGGCTGAAGTGCACTCAGGACGAGCTGGCAGCTTCAGCCTTCCTCACAGTGAAGCTGGACGACTCTATGGGAGGAGCTCCAGTTCAGGTGTGCGCTTTAAAACAACTAATATTATGCATTATTTGTGTTGTTTTTGGCACTTGTTTTCATGTTTTTGAACTTAAAATAATGACTTCTTCTGACTGTAGACAACTTATTAAAAAGAGGTGGTGTAGGTTTTAACTGTGACCAGGAGGGGGCAGTGTGGATTCATTTTTTTTCATAAGATGACATTTTAGGACTAATTTAGGACAATTTAGAAAAAAACATATATTGTGACTGCAATGAATTAAAATGATTGTAATTTATGTTTTAATATACTTAAAATGAGACAACTTATGATTACTTATTTGATATAATGACACTTTGGTGGTGTTTTGTTGCTGTGTGTGCAGGTGCGTGTGACCCAGGGCCAGGAGCCTCCTCACCTCATGAGTCTGTTCAAGTCTAAGACCATGATCATCCACAGCGGAGGAACCTCCCGGAAAGGAGGACAGACCCAGACGGCGAGCACCCGTCTGTTCCACATCCGCCAGAGCTCATCTGGGGCCACACGTGCTGTCGAGGTACACACACACACACACACACACACACACACACACACACACACACACACACACACACACACACACTCACACACACACACACACACACACTCATACACACACACACACACACACACATACACACACACACACACATACACACACACACACTCATACACACACACACACACTCATACACACACACTACACACACACACACACACACTTATACACACTCATACACACACCTATACACATACATGCTCTTCTGTTTAGCTCTGTGTTACTTTGTACGTGAGAGGATACTGTAGTACATGAGAGGATACTGTAGTACATGAGAGGATACTGTAATACATGAGAGAATACTGTAGTACATGAGAGGATACTGTAGTACATGAGACAATACTGTGGAGAGTGTGTTTTCTGAGGACCCTGTGTGTGTCTCAGGTGGAGGCGAGTGCGTCCAATCTGAACACAAACGACGTGTTTGTGCTGAAGAGTCCCTCCGCTCTGTTCGTGTGGAGAGGAGCCGGGGCCAGTGACGAGGAGATGAACGCAGCCAAACATGTGGTGGGATTCTTAGGAGGAAACCCCTCGACTGTGAGCGAAGGCCGTGAGCCAGGTACGTGCACAGAGGTTCTGCTAAGAACTGTTAGTGTGTTCTTCTTTTGTTAACCACCAAGTTTCTGGATTTGAGCAACGTGATGTTCCTAAGAACAGTGTTGGGAGTAATGTGTTATAAAAATAATGAATTACTGTAATCCGTTGCTTTTCCCTGTAACGCAGTAATGTTCGACATTACAGGGAAAAAATAATAATAAATTACTGTGTACAAATGTCAGTAACACGCGTTACAATGCATTTTTAACCTGGATTGAAGTGGTGGGTTTTTCGTTTTTCTTTATACAAATTCTCTAAAATCACTGCGATATCAGCGGCGGTGAAACACCAGAGACATGCCCACGTAGACCGTCAGGTGACCGCAGGCGAAAGGACCAGTGCAGAACTCCACGCTCCATGGGCTTAAACGCAGCTGACACCCGACACCTTCCAAGTTCTAGTCCAAGATTAGTCCTGGTTTGGTCCTGGTTAAACCTGATTTAGACCTGGTTTAGACCTTAGTTTTGGTTTAGACCTGATTTAGTCCTTCTTCAGACCTGGTTTAGTCCTGGTTCAGTTCTGGTTTAGTCCTGGTTCAGACCTGGTTTAGTCCTGGTTCAGTCCTGGTTCAGCTCTGGTTCAGTTTTGGTTTAGTCCTGGTTCAGTCCTCGGTTCAGTCCCAGTTTAGTCTTGGTTCATTCTGCAAAAGTTCCGCATCTTCGTAGTTATTTTGGTGAGAGTAACTTAAAGTGCTGCAATAGTCGTGTCATGTTTTATATTTTAAATCCAGTAATATTGTAATGTAACTAATGACTTTAACCATGTATTTGTCACAATTAGCCTAATTTGTTATTGTAGTACTTGTTCCTAAAGATGCATGTTTGGTCTTTTTTAGTAATTACATCTTTTCCTTTATTCTTAACACTAACCTACTTGTGAATAAAAGCACCATCAAATGAAGGAAAGTGAAGGAAAATACTCAATAATTGTCGTTAGATTCATAGAGAGATTTAAATATGAAAAAGTATCATTTGTGACCTACATATGTTAACTGTAACTCAAAGAGAGAAACAAACACATGATTTAAACCCTCGCCCACTACTTTATCATTTGAGTTTGTGTTTGTGTCCCTCAGGTGATTTCTGGTCGACTCTGGGAGGAAAGGCGGAGTACCAGACGTCCAAGGCCCTCCGCGATGTGGTCAACCCTCCGAGACTGTTCGCCTGCTCCAACAAAACCGGACGCCTCTCGGTCAGTCTCCAGCAGCAGTTTGCAGTTAGGAATAATAAATGGAATAATAATAAAATAATAATAATTTTGGTTTTTGATTATTTCTCAGGTTGAAGAAGTTCCGGGGGATTTCACTCAGTCCGACCTGGCCACAGATGACGTCATGCTCCTGGACGCTTGGGATCAGGTATAGTGTTTATATTTCTCCTAAAATGATGTAGAAATAATGTGATAAGACATGAAAGGTAAAAGACAACTAATCCAAGGAGCTTTTCTGTGTTTTTAAAGTCCATACACCTTCACGTTACTCATTTTGATCAATCGTTTCAAATGTTTTCAGTTTGTTTCACGCTGCTTTCTCAGTGTCATAAGCTCTGGTCACAACAATTAGGACAATGAGTTAATTAGTTTAGTTCCATGTCCCTTTCCTTGGAGAACGTTCCCAGATTTGGCGTTTGACAAGCAGTACCCATGTCAGAAAAATTGGGAAATATATGATTACAAATGTTTTTTACTGTGTCTCTTGTGACTGTTTCAGATCTTCATTTGGGTGGGAAAAGACGCCAATGCCGAGGAGAAGACTGGAGCTCCAAAAATAGGTTTGTATCAGAGGCCCCGAGGACGAGACGGTGTTCGGGACAAAATATCACGTACAGGCTCCAGGCTGGATTCACTTTGTGCATCTGAGAGTTCAGGTTCAGAAAAGTATTGGTACTATCATTAGTATTAGAGTATTATGAGTATTATGAGTAAAGTGTTATGAGTACAGTTTTGGTTGTCTCCTTTTAGTTCTCTTGGAGCTTTGGAAACAAGAAGCATTTCTTTACTGAAATAGTCTTCACTACATCTACTGTGTAGCTGTGGTAGTTTTCAATAGGAATACATTTGCAGTATTTTATAATAGAACATTTAAAACTACATTGCAAAGGTGTCTGGAGTAATCCTCTCAGGCTCAAATTAAGTTTTAGTAACAGGAAAAATCTGATATTTGGGGAAAATTATCATATGGGGTAGTAATATACAGTCCTGACTTTTTTTTGAGAGACCTTCACATCCAATGTGTTCTGGGATGTTACAGATTTGCAACATTGGCCCGGTGTGGTAAATTAACACTGAAGACTTTATGTGTAGACCACTTTTCATAACAATGAAAACATAAAGCACAGTGTACCAGCTTTACAGTGGCAGAACAACATCACTTTTTCGTGTGGTTCTCCAAGAAACAATTTTTATCCTTTGTAAACAACAAAAGTACTTTGCACTTCTGGCAGGTTGTTTGTGTGTAGACATTCTTGCACAGTCTGCATCATCCACGTTTATCAGCATGGATGGGAAAAAAGGCTCCTGAGTAAAAAAAGCTCATAAAATATGGATGTGGAGTAAGTAGGTAATTGGCTAAATGCTGTTACAAATCTGCAACGTCTGCCTGGAGAGGGTTAAAAGCCAGATTAAAGCATAGTACAGTATATCCTCAGATTTGATTTACTAGTGGAAATGAGCTTCTGTGAGTGCAGTCCAGCCTCGAGCTTGGCATTAGCATGCTGTCAAACTCATTATTATAAACATTCATTGCTGTAAATAATTAGAGTGCAAGAAAATGCCTCAAACTGTTTAAGATAAACTTTGTCTGTTTTTCATATTTTAAGATAATAAAGTCCATGTTTTAATAACACCACTGCTCCTCTTCGTCCCTCAGCTAAAGAGTACGTTGACTGTGACCCCTCCGGCCGCAGAGGGACCCCCATCACCACCATCAAACAGGGGGCAGAGCCGCCCACCTTCACCGGCTGGTTCCAGGCCTGGGACGCTCACATGTGGGACACTGACCTTCTGGAGCGCATCCGGGCTCGCTTCTGAGGACACCCAGGACCACCACCCGTCTAGAGGACCACCACCCACCACCCCGTCTCCAGGACCACCACCCACCACCCGTCTCTAGGACCACCACCCACCACCCCGTCTCCAGGACCACCACCACCCCCCGTCTAGAGGACCACCACCCACCACCCCGTCTCCAGGACCACCACCCACCACCCCGTCTCCAGGACCACCACCCCGTCTCCAAGACAACCGATTTCCACTACCAGTCGATAGTTTGGACAGGCCTTTTCATTCTGTTTTTTCATGACTATTTCCATTGTAGAGAATCACTGAAGGCATCAGAACTATCAATGGACACATACACAGTGCAAAACAATCATTCATTCACTTTTTCATTTAGATTTTAGGTTTTTGAATAGCCACCCTTTGCTTGACCCTGATGCAGCACAGATGTGAAATGAAAACCATTTCAGGAGACTTCATCAAGAAGCTCAGTGAAAGAAGGATAAGGGTTTGCAGCACTGTTTACAAAGCAAAGGTAAACTTAAAGGATTTGAATATAAAATCTAAAAAAGATTTCATGAAGTAGTAGTTTCTGTAGTACGTAGTTCCATGTATATTTTACACACCGTATATCTGATGTCTTCTGTTTGTATCTAAAATGTAGTAGTAGTAAACATGAAGAAAGGGACCAATGAAAACTGTATGTCCAAACTTTTCACTGGTAATGTACCCACCCAGTCCCCACCGCCCAGCACCTACAGCCATGTTCTTTTTCTACCTGCAGTCCCAAGTGCCAAACCTCATATTTCAGTGCTTCGCGTCAGGCCAACGGTGCAGTGCGCCAAATGACACATTCTCTTTTTACTTTTTACTATGAAGTGTCCGCAGTGCTCTGTGGACTGATGCATTCAGGTGCTTCAAGACATCTCAGTATCGCTTCGTTTGCCTAGAAATGATCTTTGAGCATTAAATAGAGAAGTAGTTTCTTTTTAAAACGTAGTCGTGTTCTGACGCCTGTCCGCCATTTTATGTTTTGATATTTTTTTGCTATAATGAACCCAACTTAATGTTATTTTGTATGTTTTACCCGTAGACTATTTGTAGAGACGGACCGAGCCAAGCTGAAACTATTTGGACACTTCATTTGTGCACTTATGATATTCACTTCAAAACTATTTAAAAATATAATATTGTCGAAATTGTTAAATTGTTAAAAATACCACATACAAAAGTGTGTATACAAAAAACAACGAACTTAAGCGTTTTTCATTTCACAAGCCATAAATTATACTCACTGTTAAAGGTGCAATGCGTAGGTTTTCTGGTGAAGGGTCCGTCACCTGCTTGTCTCCATGGAGAAGTTACAGTATTGCTTTGTCTAGAATGTTCCACAGTCTGGCATTTCACTTATTTTCAAGGTTTTTAGGCTGCATTTGAATAAATATAAGACAGATACGTTTAATGACATACCGTATTTTCCGGGCTATTAGACGCGCTCTTAAGCCTCTAACCGCATCAAAAAACGTCCGCTCGCCACAATCCAGAGCGCCCCATACACACAAAGCCACTCCGGGTGTCCCAGTACGACTTCAGTAAACTGCAAAGCCGCACCACCCGCAGAACACACAAACACACACGGAGCAGACAGCGACCACACAGCGAAACACACCCACAGACACACTCATCACTCCACGCCGACGAGGAACGGAACGAAGGAACGAACTGAAAAAGCGAGTGCAATGTGCCACTTCTAGACACAACTGAACAACTGAGTCACTGTGAACACGCCGACAATCCAGTTGGTCCCAGACACACACCCTCCCTACACGCCACAACTGAACAAAGCCCAGAGTCACCGTGAACGAACAAACAAACAAAACCACTCACCCATCACACTGTTGGGTTTCCTTTAAAGTCCGGTGCGGTTTATTTGTGAAAAAAGTTAGAAAATAGACCATTTAATGACAGTGCGTCTTATAATCCAGAGCGCCTAATCGTCCATAAAATACCGTGGAACATTTTAGGAAACGCAAATAACATTTCCATTTTTTCTGGGCGTCTTTGTGCCACGAAACCAGCTGTAATTGAATAAATATAAAGTAGAGTTGTTTAATGTCATGTTGTGGAACAATGACATATCCATAGAAACAAGCAGGTGATGAAGCCCCAACCAAAAAGTTACACAGTGCATCTTTAGAGAGTAAAATGATTATTCTTCAGAGAGCTTCACAGTTTTTCCCCTTAAACAGAAGCGCATCTTTAAGTGTACAAGTGCGTTCTGAGGCTTAAAATGAAATCGGAAAGCAAATAATGCAAAGCAACTTCACTCATGTTTTAACGTTTACAGAAATATAGAATTTAAATCCAACTTTTTATTTGATATCATAGAAAACAAGTCATTAAATATTGTACGGCAGCTGTCCCGTTGTCTGTCTCTGTAGTTGCTTTCATCTTTGGTACTGAAGTGCTGTGTTTTTGCATGCCGCTTGAAGACACTCCCTCTCCAGCCTCCGCGAAGGAGCTTTGAGATCTGTGTCCGTACTTTTACTTGACCCTTGCTTTTAAATAAACCCTTTACAGTATTTGGATCAAAGTGCGTCTCGTTATTCTTTCTATCATGAGTGTTATGAATGTTACAGCTGTAGTCGTGCGTTCTGTCGGCTCTGCTCCTCGGGCGGTGCTGTTGGGGTGGAGCATCTGTTTCATTTTGAAGTAGAAGAAGAAGAAGACTTGGTTCACATTTTATTAACCTGGATTTGGGCCTAGGTATATATATTTAAAGCATACATACAGATGATAGATTCAAAACACGAATAACAGGACATACTGACTCATGTAACAGGACAGTCTGCAGACAAGACGAAACAATTCAATAAACAGAATAATAATCAAATAAAAGTAAACCATGAGTGTGTGTTTATATGTGTGTTAATAAAACATGTTGAATTTGTGAGCTCAAGAGGAGAAACGAACAAGAAGGGCAATAGAGTAAAAGAAGAAAATAAAATAAAATAAAATAAAGAGCAGACCTCCATGTTGATGTTATTGCTTTGTCTGGAATGTTCCACAGTGTGGCATTAAACTTTTCTATCTCCATGGAGACCAAATCAGACCAAGTTACAGGTCAGGTCTGTGGAGAGGCGACCCCACTCACAGTGAATGTCTGTTTTTCTAGGGATTTTTGAGCAATAAAACCATGTGTAATTGAATAAATGTAAAGCAGAGCTCTTTAATGTCACACTGTGGAACATTCCAGACAGAGCAATGCCTGGAATGCCTACGCTGCAAGGCCTCCAATAAAACAATAAAATAAACACACACAATGCAATGTTAATACAAGAAAGTACAATGCAAGAGGTCTTATGCATCTGACTGCATAAAATCATTTATTATAATGGCTTGTTTAGATTTAATGTGACGTGAGGATTAAATTATTTTGAACAAGGGTTTTATTGTTTGGCTAGTAATAAACAAGAATTATAGAACAGTTTTTTGTTGTCTTACAAAATTATTCTGTATTTTATATCTTTATAAGTTACATTTGGTAAATCTGTGTCATATTCCACCATCCACATTTGGAATGAGTCCCAAAACGTTCTAATACGGCTCCAATAAAAGAACAAATGTTCAACAGTTTCTATTTCACTGTTACAAAAGGTGCAGTTATTGGTCTCCATATTAAAATGTTTTTTCAAGAATTGTACAGGGGTAAATATCATTTAAAATTTTAAAGTGAGTTTCTTTGGCTTTAAGGGAGATTGGAAATGAGAAAAAAATTGTTCTAATTTTTTTAAATTTTCAATGATATTAACTGGAAACTCTTTAAGTACATGGATTCTTTTTAATGGGAGAGGACACAATTTGGTAGTAATAATGTTCCTTATTATTTTATTTGAGCAGTTTTTGTCTTTAAATTCAAATTCATCTATGGTGAGTAAAGGGAATTTTGGTGTAATTTTCAACATGCCACTAATTAGATTTAACAATTCTAATGGGAGAGCTTTGATGACTGTATGATATTGCTGTTTTGAGCATTGTAAATTATATTTCTTCATAAGGTTCCCTTTAGAATACCTTAAAACATGCATTCTCCTTGAGGGGCAGGTAGACTGACCCTAGTGATTATCACAGAGTGAACAGAGGAAAGTGAAGGGACAACACAAGATCTCCAGGATGCTCAGAACGACACAGCTCACACAGCCACAGCAGGCTGCACAGCAGGCCAAACAGCAGTCTGCACAGGAGCAGTCTGCACGAGAGGAGAACAGGTTTTAGAACAAACTATTTAACCACTGACAGAAAACAACTTTTGGATTCCTCTCAATATCAGACATGTACATCACAGACAAAAGTTTGGACAGTCCTTCTCATTCAGTGTCTTTTTTCCTTAAGTTTACTGCTTAAATACAAACAGAAGGCATCAAATATGTGGCACAACATATATGGAATTATGTAGCAAAGAAAAAAAGGGAATTAACCCTTTGTATTGTCAACAGAATTGCAAACCCTTCAGCTTCTTGTCAGGGTCAACACATACAAAGAGTGTGTGAAGCAGTGACTGAAGTAAAGGGTGACTATTTTGGTCTTTAATCTAAAGGTTTTGTGTTTATCTTTGTTTCCTTCACACATGAGTTCATTCATAGTTCTGATGCTTTCAGTCAGAATCTAAGGTGTAAATAATCATGAAAATGAAGAAGAAACAAACATGAGAAAGTGTGTCCAAACATTTGAACTATGGTGTGAAAAAGGGACAAAAGGAAAGCAGAACAAAAAAGAGGTGCTCTTTGGTCAAGGGACAAAAAGTACAAAAAACAAGGTACTCTCTTGGATGTTAAAATATCTTGAGCCCCAATGTGTTTCAGCCCACTGGCCTTTTTTTTTTTTACTGAATCTATAAATGTAAAGCCACTGAAACCCTGACATGAGGACACTGATTTTATTCTCTTTGATTCTTTTCTCTTCATTATTCACTGTTTTAAATGTGGTCATTTTGTATTGGTGTTAACATCGCCATCTGGTGGTGTTTTTCACTCACTGTCCCACACTGCAGAAGAGTCAGACTGCAGACCTGCACCCAGAGGACCCGACCTCACAGTCACCACCACGATGACCCCCACACACACGTCCCTCACTGTATTACAACAGTTTACTGTTTAAAGGTGACTATAAGTAACATTTCTTTAGAGCACTTTTCACAGAGATCAGCTCACAGTTGTGCTTCATCTTTAGCTTAAAATATTCCACTTTTATTTCAGACCTGATTTAGACTTGGCTTTGTCCTTGTTTAGTCCTGGTTTCATTGTAGTCCTGGCTCAGTTTCAGTGTTTCTTATCTTTAAACTCAGGTGTGGAGCCAGGAAGAGGTGAAGCTTCTTCAGAAGAAACTGGTCCTGATCAGAGAAATAAACACACTTACATACTTCTGCTTTGGTACATTTAAAGAGGGGGTCTTATGCATTATTTTTGGAGTTTGAGCCATGTTAAAATGTTGTTCCCTCATTAAAACCCTCCAAGTCATTTTCCATAAATACACAAATAGGATACAAAATAATACATCACAACTTCACAAACCTGATACAATGTGCAGAGTTTTATTAGTGAGATGCACGCCTGTTGTAGGGTTAGTGACACAATGTGGAGAACATACAGAGGGGGGACTCTGACTCAAAATGAAACTGAAAGTTGTTTAACATTTTAATAGGTTGTTTTCAGCAAATTCTGAATTTTTAAAACTATAAAAGGACCATGGTGATCTAAATACATGATAGTGGTTAGTGGTTAATTCCCCATAGAAGTAAATCCCCCTCTTTCACTTGTGTGGAATATTAAACAACTGAGCTCTCTCACCTTCAGTCACCGAAGGCTGAATACCAAGACTTGTTGTATTTGCTGCCATTTGAAAAAAATCTCCCATATACCAAAAAAATCTTCTGAAAAAGTGACTTCAGTATAATGCTGTTTTGTTGAATTTCTTAATCTTCTTGTTGAGCTGAAGTTGGCTTCTCGTCTTTATCCCTAATCAAGAAAAACATAAGAATAAACAAATCAAGACAAGTCGCCGTTCTTAAACTGTCTGATTTGTGAAAAAAGTGGAAGTGCGACCGAGTCAGTGACCACAAGTCCAAGTCAAGTCTCAAGTCCTCTGCTTTGAGCTTCAAATCATCTCAAGTCTTTAACCAAACACAGCTAGAATTTTTGCAACTGATATGCTTTTTAAACTAAATTCTATTATTTAAAGTTGCACTGTGTAACTTTTCTGAGACCAGAGACCAGATTAGCTGTGGTAGGAGATATCCGATGAGCACTGAGAGTAAAGTGACAAAATTAAAAGTGGTCCAGGAGAATATAAAGCAAAAGGGTTAAAAAAAAAAAGATCTTTAGAAAAAGAGCCAAGCATTAGTTACCAATGTGGATTACCTGAAGAATTGGCAGGGAGTGCTGGAAAAACCAGGGAAAACCAGGCTTATATGTGTACATGGATCTCAAGTGTAAGTTGGAGACAGAGTGCAGCTGCTGTGGGCTGAGTGACTCCTCCCAGGTGAGGGAGAAAGAGAGAAACTAGAGGATCATGACTCTGAAAACAAACTGGACATATGCAAACTATTATTACTAAATATGATAAAATTTTCCATATCAGGCCAATACCATGTGAAGAGAATATCATTCTATTCCATTCCATTTTCGTTCGCTTATCCAGGGTCAGGTCGCGGGGGCAGCAGTCCGAGAAGGGCCTCCCAGATATCCCTCTCCACGCACACGTCCTCCAGCTCCTCCGGGGGGATCCTGAGGTGTTCGCAGGCCAGTCCAGAGACATAGTCCCTCCAGTGTGTCCTGGGTCTTCCCCGGGGCCTCCTCCTGGTGGGACATGCCCGGAAAACCTCCTGAGGAAGGCGTCCAGGAGGCATCCGGAACAGATGCCTGAGCCACCTCAACTGGCTCCTCTCGACGTGGAGGAGCAGCGACTCTACTCCGAGCTCCTCCCGTGTGACTGAGCTCCTCACCCTATCTCTAAGGGAGCGCCCAGCCACCCTGCGGAGGAAACCCATTTCGGAGGCTTGTATCCGCGATCTCGTCCTTTCGGTCACTACCCAGAGCTCATGACCAGAGGTGAGAGTGAGAACGTAGACTGACCGATAAATCGAGAGCTTCGCCTTTAGGCTAAGCTCCCTCTTCACCACAACGGTCCGATACAGCGACTGCATCCAATTTTAGCACTGATATTAAGACTATTTTTTATTTATTTTTAAAATTTACAAAAAATTTAAACTCCTCAAAATTTCCTCAACCTAATATTTATGAAAATGTTTGGCTGTCTACAAGAAAGAGAGAAAGGAGATGAAGCAGCCAGAAAAGATCCAATCACTCAAATCCACATTTATTTCAAAAGTACATTTAAAAGAGCTTACCAAAGTGTTAAACAATAAAGGTAGCGTTTGCAATGAAAGAAAACCTGGAATGAGCCTCTTTTGTCAGTTCAGAGTTTGGAGTATAAAACTTTGTCAAGATCTGGCAATAGTGGAGCTGTTAAGGACCAAAACAGTTTGCTTTTATGGTACAAGCATGAAACTTTGCAAGATTAGTAACACCCCCAGGACTAATATTTCTGGATATGGAACCAAGTCTAACTCAACACTGGAGCTGAGAACTGCACACGTCACAAAATGGACCACATGAAAACAAGACTGGCATAAAAACCACTGCATCCCTTTCTTATTGTCTAATTTGCTTAGTTATCTATTTTGTAATGTTTAACAACTATTTTTTCTAAACTCCAAAGCTTTAAGGAGGTCACATGACCATTTTCCTTGAGAATGAAAGGGTTGTGTTGGTTCCCTGTGGCTGAAATCCAAATAAATACTCTTCTGCCATCAGTTAAGTGTTTCCCAACCTAAGCCTAGGCAGCAAGCTTAACATCAAAATGGTCCCAGAAAAGACAGGATGCAGCTTTATGTCTCAAGAAGACCATTTATCCTTTTTTGTAAAACTGTAAAACAGATACTGTTAAAGAATCACTGGTCGGACCCAAATACGCAGAGGGAAAAAAAGTATTTTATTTACAAAAATAGTCTTGGCGGGGGGATAGATTCCAGGGGAGGCAGGACGGGGCCAGGTTGGCTGTAGATGGGAGGTCTGTGGAGATGGAGGCTGACCGGAGGCTTACAGAAACCGGTGGTAACGGGATGAGGCTGGCTCCAAAACGGAAGAACTGGGGAAAAGATAAAAGAAAACAGGTAAAAGTCAAAATCTTCAAAAATGCTCAAAAACACAAAAAGCCTGAGTTGTTCACCACTTGGTTGATGGAACAATCTGGCACTGGAGAGCAGGTCAGCAGGTCTTTTATTGCAGGAGATGATTACTTGATGAGGATCAGGAGTGGAGCTCAGCAGGTGAGTGACTGGGGTCCGCCCAGGAAAAAACAAATAAGGAGAGAAGGAGCAGGGAAGGGAGGGGTAGGAGGGGCAGGATGAAACCCTCACAGATACAAGAAATACTTCAGTATTTGTATAAATGTACAAGGATTAGCATTAACACTTCCAAAACCGTTACTAACTTGTCTTGCGCTACAGGTGGAGGCCGCTAGATGGCGCTGCCACGCATAAACTAATTAAAGAAGAAGAACGAAAAAGTGAAGTTATAGTGACAAATTCTCCCTCTACTGGAGAAACAGGGGATAACACTAACACTGTACACAAACCCAAACCAACAGAATTCAATTAATGAAATGAGGGACAGAATAAATACAATATTTTATCTTTCAAAGCAATATTTTTTTGGGTTTTGATAACAAAACCATTTAACCATCTCCAAAGATCTGTAAGAGCCATATCATATTTCATAATGATAATTAAATGCTACATGTAAGACAGAGATCTACCTTAAATCAGTAAACTTATTCAAAGTGTTCCTCAGTGCAGCTGCCGCCACATTGGCATGATTCTGTACATGCCAAATTTATCTTTGCACACTTGCATCACCCAGCACAGGTTACTGCATCCACACTTGATAAGTTCACAGCACGTGTCCTTTGCTGGGAGAGTGTGGTCCACAATGGTAACCAGTGACTGCATCACGCTTCCATCCCCAGTCTGCAGGACTGGGCAGATCTGATGTTTTAAAATACTAAAATACAGTACTTTTAATCTTTCACTGTATGGCATGAAACATATGAGTCTTGTGTTTATTCAGTTAAGGATCGAAAATGTGTTTATTGCTCAAATACCTAAAATGCTACTCTTACATTTAGCAGGGTGTCTTGCTTGTCACCAGGGAGATGGATAAGGTTAAAGTCATACTGTGAAAGCAAAGCAACAACATCTCCATGGAGACAAGCAGGTATCTTACCTTCCACTGGAAATGTTACATTGTTCATCTTTAAAGATTTTAAATTGCATTGTCCTTTTGCATAGCCTGTATATCTCACATTATGGGAAGAAAAAAATGCATTATTTCAGTAGTTTAAGCCATTTGTTTTCAACATTTGAAGCTAAAACATAGTAAATTTGTGGTCTTAATAATGGGTTTATATTTTTATTACAATCCATATGTCACTGCAGTACAGGTGTGAACAGAGTGAACAGGTGATCTTGATGTTGATCTTGATGCACAAAATTGTTGTTTGTTTTAAATGGGTTGTTACTTTCGTACTTGGTGAGGGTGGCCAGGCATTCACAAAAAGTCTTATAGCACCAGGCACTGAAAGCCTTACAGCAGTTGGCACAGCATCCTGCACAAGAGGAAAACATGTTTTATAACAAACTATTCAAGCACTCACAGAAAACACCTTTTGCATCCCTACAGATATCAGACAATACTGTATGTGAACATGGTGTTGGGAAGGTAAGGTACACTTTATTGTCCCCTTAGAGAAATTTGTCCTCGGCATTTGACCCATCAATAATGAAAGGACCATCCATATACAAAAAAGACTTATACAGCTAAAATGCCTTAAAGTTGAAGGCTGTATCAAGTGGTGGTTTGAATATTGTTTAATGAAGTTACACATTGAGTTGAAGCTTAAACACTGAGATCTTATTTGTTGAATAGTACCATTGTGTTTCCTATATAATGGGTAACCTATGTGCTTCTAAGCAAATTCCTTTGCAGAAGTGGGACTGTGGAGAAAACCAGATGGCTTATCTAAACAGACTTGGTGTGATTTACAATGGTTTGGAGGGGGTTGTCACTTTCCCCTAAGAAGAAATGCTGACACTTCAAGGTGACGATTCAAGGCGGGAACCTGCTCAACATATTATATGCATATTCATATGGATGTTTATAAAAACTGGGTTGAAGTATTCAGAGGAGTTAGATGCCTGATGTAAGCCCTCTGTAACTTTGTAGGCTGTTAGGGACAACGATCTGACCCAGAGCTCTGTATTAGAATTGTATTGTCAGGGGAATAAATTTTTGTAATTTAAATGGATTGAGTCTAGTAATTTTTGATAGAACACGCCTAACAAAGTGCATATGACAAGTTTGACACACAGAGAGATATACTTTATTGATCTTGAGGGAAATTCAATTTAAGTGCAACAAAGTGTTTCATTCCACTACACGTTGCTTTTGCGTCTCTGTCAAATGCAAGTAGTCTATTTTTTCACTAAAACATAGTTAACATAATTTAATAATAAATTTGCTTTAAATTCAATTTTAGTCAAGTTTATTATTTTACTTCCTGGTTGGATACTTGCATACTGAGTGGTAATTCCATAACTATTTTTTAGCAGCCAAAAATGGGACAAAAATTACACAATAGTTCTGATTAGACAAATACAGTGACAAACACCTAGGATATATTTAGTTAAATTAATGTTGAAACGGTCAGAGAAAGTGTGTGTGCAAATTGTCTCTGCATTTTAGATGGAATTTTTGGTGTTTATTCCTAAAATCTAACCAGTAGTGGTCAATAGGGGGTTAGTGGACCTAGTGTCAGAGTTAACATTCAGTGCTTAATCAACATCAGTCATCAAAATACACAAGACACAAACAGTTGAATTAATTCTGCCACTTGCAAGGGGAAGAGGAGGGAGGACTCCACTGATCTAATCGTGTTCCTGCCTGTAGTCCTTCTCTCTGTCTCTCTCTTGGTGTCAGCTTTTTATTCATTTATCACACCCACAGTTACACAGTCACATGATATGCACAGTTGTATAGGTCAAGAGGGTATGCTCTGTCTAACATTTGTACAGCGTTACCTTTCTCCAGTCTCGGGGTAGACGGTTGCACGCTCCTCCACAAGATACCACATGTTTAACCACAACTGTCCCCTCAGACCCCACAGCCCCCTCCACTCTCACTGAATCACACTTCAACATTTAGGCACTTCCTGTTTTACAGCAGACGCTTCTAACAATAACACTGTTGAGCAGAACATTTGTTTCAGCTTTGATAACATTAATAGCATATATATATATATATATATATATATATATATATATATATATATATATATATATATATATATATATACACATTTTATTCTCCCATTTCCCTCCTGTTTATCAAAGATGAACACCAAATTCTCATA